GCCCTTGCAGTACTGTTAACACGACACCAGAGTCAGCCTGTGTACCTGCATTGTAGCAGCAGTCTCCAAAGTAGGGCGCATGCCTCACTAAAGGGACACAAACTTCTCTTTAATATTTTCTATATTTGGATCACAGTGTGGAATTTATTAAGGTGATTGTCTTTGGTCAATCAGAATAAATGCATTTCAGTAGAGTTCAAAGCAATAGCTGTTAATGTGTGGAGGTGGAAGTATCAAAGTGATACGTTTATCAGTCCCAACCAAAATCTGGGGCAGACTGAGTTAAGGACAGAACACTGAGTCTTAGCTCTGTCTGAAACACTAACAAGTAAAACTTTTACGTTATCTAAAACTCACCTTTAGCCCACGCAGTACTCTGTCTTTCATCACAGCAATAAATTCCCTATGGCTCAGGCAGTTGTCTCCATCAAGATCAAAGAGTTTAAACACAGTGTCCAAGACGTTCTCGGACAGATCATGGCCTGTGGCGATCCTCACAGCTCGCTTAAACTGTGCTGGAATCAGGTGCATACATATATATATCACTTATACTGTAGTAAACGGTGAAAGCAGTGTAATGAGGAGGAGAGTCGTTACCCATTCCCACAGGTCGATTGGCTTCAGAAACCATTTTCATCGAGAAGGCAAAATCCTCCAGATTGTTAGTGAAAAGACAGAAAACTTTGAACTCATCAAAAGAGATACTCTGGGAACAAGAAAGAAGAAAAGCTCTAGTTTTGTGTTCTAGCATCGATTCTGAGTCCAAGGACGGAAGGTCTTATTGTTGTACCTGTCCAGCTGGAATCCTCTTCCTCATGTTTTCCCAGTACACCTCATTGTCTTCTTCGTTGGTATAATGCAGTAGCCACTCTGCAAAGTCTTCTCTTCGCATAGTGTCCATACCTTTGGAAAATCGCAGAAACTCCATTTCCTGCACCTCAGCCTGCAGGTCCTCCATGAATCTGAAAGTCCCATATAGAAAGTGAGCAAAACAGATCACTTCATCTTTCAGCTGTGTCCTCGAGGGGTCGCCAAAGCGTGCCTCCTTCTTACCCCATCTCCTGTTTCCTAAGACAGAGCCACCATCTCTGAACCACACATCATAGCAGGTTTAACATTCATGTTCTCATGCTTTAAAAGTGATCATATGATTGGCTACAACAAATCACATGATCACATATATGAGAACATAAATGTAACAACGAATGCCTTTTTAACAGAGTCAAACATCTAGGAGGACTTTTTCATAAACTACAGGCAACGCATTGATTGGTAAGAGAGAGAAAACTTAATACATTTGTTTTCTATCAAAACATGTGGGTTTCCTTACCGACGGAACTCTTTATATTGCAACTTATTTTTTCCTTTCCTCCCAAAGAAGTAGGCCTGTAATGTCGTGTTCACTCCTTCTCCTTCTTCTGCTGGTTTCTGTGAACATTAGCGAGTAAAGTTAGCAAAGAAAACACATCGTCATGCATCAGTTTCTTTAAATTTGACAAAACAGTGAACACCCACCTCAGTGCTGTCTTTGGGAACTCTCACTTTACTTTTCCTGATTACTTTCTTCAGCTTTAACAGCAGAAAAAAAAATTAAACAATTTCTTGATTAATTGATTTCAAATAAAAGTGCATGTCACATCTGAACGATTACAGAAAACATGAACGTAAAGACAATTAAAGGCTACATCAACATTAGTCTGTTTAAAATAATGATACTGTACTCATCTACAACATCCATACTACCATACTGTCTTCACAGACTAAACCTCAAAACCTTTTACAGCTTCATTTTAGTTTAAAAACTGCATAAATATATATGTGTATATGTACATATA